AAATCCCGCTGCAGAGCTTGCTCTATCAAAGGAAATGTCAAACTCCGAAAGCCCTCATGAGAGTCTGGAACCGAGACTACTGAATATCATACCCAGACTTCAGATGTCGAGCCTCACGATACAGCACGTCCAGCCTTAAGCTTTTTTCTTCTTCTTGACTGAAGTTTAAGCTACCTGACGCGCCTTAACAGTTTTCCGGCATACCAACTTCGGGAATTTTGTACCTTTCTCCGAGTTCCGACCAGGCCGAAAAAAAAGCCACTAGGCGCGAGCACAGACCCCACTTGGACAGTTTTGAGTCTGGCCTCGCTCTAGACGGCCCGGGCGCATGCTCAATCCGCTTCTCACAGCGCCTCACTTACTAGGCTGTTAACAAATTGTGCTAGACCGAGCCTTGAGATGCCTTGCGCAGTCGTGGACAACGCAGAGCTGCGACCAGAAGGGCGTACGTGCTTCGCTGCTGCTGCGCACCCTGCTCGCATTTCTGCGGTCCTTCAGCGCGTGGAGAAGGACATGTGGAGCCTGATGAGAAGGCCTAGGCTGCTCGTCGTCCTCCTGCCCCGGGTCATGCTCTGGTGATTTGATTTCTCGCAATGCCATTACTATACGTACATATGCGCAGACTAATGCATAGTGAACTCCTCTACTCTATGGCCCTCCCCTCCAATGCCAAAATGTCTCACGCAGCCAGCCACGTTCGAGTACGTGTGCGGTGGCGACGGCGACGGCCCGTTTCGTTGCGGAGCGGAGGCCGCAGTGCTGCGCCCCGAAACATATATATATCGCCGGCTGGCGTCGCCTGACCCGCCAGGCACGCGCCAGGCCGACGCGCGATAGATGCATGCCACGCATGACACAAACAACCAATTTCCTGGAACTGTCCTCGCCCCCGCCACATGCATGCAGGTACGCGCGTCGGTTACTGGCGGACACCAGAAAACGGTTGGTCCGGCGCATGCATGCATTCGGTGTCTTATCGGGCGGTTTGCGCTATTGCGACGCACGGGCATACAACGTCTCCGGTGGCGTCGTTGTCATGACGCGATCGAGGATCGACGCTAGCGGGCGGCCCCTAGTGCAAGTGCCTTGTTGCCAGCGATCGCGACCGCGGAGTGCGCGCACGCGCGCACGTGCCTCAGCCTCTGCAGAGGCTACACCAAGCTGGGGCACCCGGCCGCGTCGTCTCTCCGTGGGAGGCCACTAGTGTGGAGAGGAAGAGCCCCTATGGAGTAACGACGGCCGCGCATCTGACCAGAGTGGCCCACCTCGGACAATGTGGCGGCGGAATGTCGCATTCCGCGATGAAATTGCGCAGCTGACCCACCTCGACTGGTTGGAGACTCGCCACTCAGACATCATCGATGCATCATCTCCGAGCGGTGACCTCACAGTGTCAGGACTTCCGATGGTAAGGCCTTGAGATCTGTCTTAACTCGAGGTGATGTTTGGGTGTTATAGATGAGGCAGACAGATGCAAGACCTTCCAGACGTCCGGCGGTGACATCGCTGGGCCTTAATCAACTGCAAAGTGGTGTGCATCAACCAACAAGTGTGCGACACTCGCGTCAGACACGGCTTGCAGGGCCGCTGCACCGCTCGATGATGGCTGCTATCGCTCGTAGTCTGGTGGGTATGCTTCCGGAAACGACTTTGCTGCTGATGGCGCGTCGTTCCGTACCGACGGTATCAGCCATCGACGGATTCGAAGATGGGGAACATCGGGTCTGGTTATATTTGCAGACGCTGTTGTCGTAACATATGTAGGCTGTGCATCGGAGGCAGCTCGCAACGCTTGTGAGAACATACAGCCATACGTGTGCATATTTCTGCGTCACTGTCCTCGCGCGGCGAGACCTGGGGGGATGACGCCGTGGGCGATTCGTCGCGTTCATTACGGGGAAGAACGAAGACGTATTGACGACAGCTGAAGAAGCGCGCTGCCGACGGCGTGTGTACGACGTCCGGGGCGAGCGCAGATCTCTTCCAACGTAGCGGCATCCACATCGTGTACCGTGCCGTCCGCCGCGCTTCTCGAGGAGTCGATGGGAAGGCATCAGCAGAAGCGCCGCTGACCATGATACATTGCTCGCCGACCCGTTGTCGGAAATGCACCCACCCACCCAGCAGCCCATGCATGGAAAACCCGGCAGCAGTCTACGGGCGAAACGCGCGTGCATGATGTCAGCGGTTCCATGTCGGCGGGACATGAGTGGGAAGTAGAGCACCCACGTGTTTTGCAGCTAGACCATACCGTGCCAGCGCCTGCCACTTGTCGTCGGTGCGGGCCACACGCCGCTCCAGGGCTCAGAGAGATCCGCCACGGACGCGGGGGCACACATGCCATGGCAACCCCGGCGTCCTCTGCCCTCCGTGCGCGAGCCATCACCAAACTCTAACCTAGTTTCCCGGCCTGGCGCGCGCGGGCCCCCCGTCGGCGCGATACACGCCAGCCAAGAAGAAGCAGCCGCAGCAGCAGCAACGCGCCATGCCTGACGTGACACGGGACGCACGAACGAAGATCCAACGGACGAAGGAGCCGAGAAGCAGAAGCCACGCCTGGGGCTTCGCCGACGGCTATCTGCTGTCAGTCAACGCAGATGCTTTGGCGGGGAAGGCGGCGGACGTGCGTACCACACGGATACGCCGAAGGCAGCGGGGCCCAGCCGCCCCCTCCGCCCACTTCTGCTCGCTTTTGGGCACACGAGCACCACTTCGGGCTCCTCAGGCCTCCTTGACGCTATACATAACCCGCCGCCAGATTGCCGCCGGGGGGCGCGCGCGCAAATGGACGGGCCTGCCAATCACGCGTGTTAATCGGTGTGTGAGCGTGTCTACTTGTTCTGTCGCCCGCACGCTTTTAGTTCTGTGGCATGATAGAGGCGCATCAGGCAAATTCATTAATTTGGGGAGGGAGGGAAGGGGGGCTCACAGTGCGGAGGAGACAAATATGCATGCTACGGACCGTAATAGTGCTGCTGTGGAGCGGTTGGAAATGGAGCTCCGGAGGCGCGCTGCTGCCCAGGGTAAGGACCGCGGCGCGAGGCCGCTTCACATCTATCGTGCAAAGAGCCCGTGCGCACGCGAAGCACGCCGTCGCCGCCGGGATCGCGCGCGGCGCGCGGCGCATCATGGATCCCCGATGCATGGCCCACGTCGTGTGTTCAACGCGAAACGATCGTCACCTTGCGCACAGACGGACCAGAGGCCAGCAGCCCACAGCAATCTGCCAATCCCTGTCACGCCGGCACCAGAACGCAAAAAAGAGGAGCAGAGAGACGCACATTTGCGCACATGACCCATCTGTACGACCGCGCCGGTCCTCGAAGCGCGGACCCAGGGCTGATGACGCGAGAAACGCCTGTCCCCAGGTACCACCCGCCGCCGCAGCTGGGCGGCTGCAGCAAGTGGCACACACACCGAGGTCCACTGTCCATGTCGACGACGCTATCTATGCGCTCGACCGTTCCTACGGACGGTTGTCGCATCGACTCTGTTGTGTTCTGTGCGAGATTCGCGCCTGCTCCACACTACGGGCGAGCCGTGCCGGTGCGCGCGCTCCTGGCAGCATTCGATAGGGACATCCGAGAGCGAGCGCGACGTCTGCCACCAGGGCCCTGAAGGCCTGAAGGCCCTGGGCCTGCCCTGTCTGCGTGCCGGGCCAGAAACACAGGTAACAGGTCCAGCCAAGCCATTTGGATCGGCATGCCCATCATGCCCGCCTGGGGCAATGTCTGCGTTGTGTTGTGTCAGCGGAGAGATCAGCAGCCCTCTCGCCACAACACCGAACCTACAAGCCCGAGCCAGTGCGAGACATGCGGAAACGTCACGGAGTCTGTTTCGAAAAGAGTCAGTATAGAGTGCCAAGCTAGAGGTCCGCACCTCTCGGTGTGTTGTATGTGTGTCGCGCATGAGTTTGAGCATCGCTGTAGGTATCAGAAAAGAGGCGTGGTGTGGAGGCGACGGCCCACACAGATTACGGACAAGTCTGTGCACGCAGCAACGTTTACCATCCCACCCCAATCGGACCAGAGACAGAAGAGAGAAAGAGCACGTTTCGGCCGTCGGGGCTTCCTCGGCGCGCGCATGGCAGAGGTCGGAGGGAGCGTGTGCCGGCGGCGGGGGCGCGGGCTGTCAACGCAGGCCCTGATGGCGGTGCGCGTGCCCCCGACGTGCGTTTCCCCGACGTGACGTGCGACCGGGGCGCACGTCAGGATGGGGGCGAGGAGGCCCGGAAGGGGCGGGACGGGATCGCCGGGGCATGGCGTGCTGGCGCCTGCCCGCGTGCGGGAGCATTCGAAACAGCAAATGCTAGGCCCAAAAAGGCATCGTGCATGACCTCTGTGAGACAGGCCAAGGGTCCTCTTCTTCTCTCAGGCCTTGCGAGCGGGTGCGTGTCACCGGGCACTGAAGAGGTGGAGGAGCGGCCGTAGCGTGTTCTCCCTGCAGTGCGAGACAGCGCGGCGTGTGGTCGCGTGCGCGCACCCAAGACGAGAGCGGATGCGAAAGCAATGGGGAGCGGCCGACGCGCGGATGCGTTTAGGGGATCCGCGAACGCGCAGTGGTGGTGGCGGGCTGCGAGGATACCGGAATGCCGGCGTGACAAATCTGTCGCGTCCGCGGCCTCGTGACCGCGGCGGGCACGCACGTTGCTCGAGGGCGCTTCTGATACCGGAGCTCGAAGTCTGCTCGACAGCTCCTGTGCAGCATCCAGAGCCTCGCAGGTGCCACTCGCTTCCAGGTCCAGGAACCGCGAGCTTGCAGCATAGCAGCGTTGCTCAGCACGCGCTAGAACGATGCGGTCGCTGCGGTTGCCAGAGGCTTGCTCCACTAGGGCACAAAGAGAGAGGCGACCGCGACAGGCCGGTCAGTCAGCTGGCACGCGTCGGCAGATGGTGGCGGAGGGCGCGCCGAGGCACGTGCCTAATAATATGTGACGTAGCCCGCGATCTGCCCACGCTCCGGAGAGGGAGGTGGGGGGAAGCCTTGCAAGGCACGAACCGTCGGGACAGGCTAATCGCACTAGTACTAACTTAATGGTGGGAGAATCCCTCGCTGTGTGATGCGCCACCGTAATTATTACTCCTCCTTGCCAGCGGTCGCGATAGCGTGCAGACGCGAAGGTGCGGGGCTGCCGTGGGACGTCGAACGGAGAAGGCTGGAGGCTGGTGATGGAGGTCGTAGAGCGCACAGGCGGAAGGAACAAGGTCGGCCTATTGTTGTGCATGTCGGAGCGGGCACAAAAGCGTGCGGACGGTTGCTGCAGCGAGGCGGCAACCGCGAACCGATTTCGTGACAGGGCCGTGACAGGCGGGCTGACGTGACTCGTCGCGGGCGGAGGGCGGTCAGCGTGACAGCCCTGATTGGCTCGCAAGCCCGGCGTCTCCCTGCCATACTCGGCTAATTAATCGCAATCGTTGTCTTCGATCGGATCTGCCGATTGTGGCAGGGCATCCGCGGCGTCTGGCTTCTGCCTCCGTCCCAGAGCGCCGGTGCCGTGTGCAGGCGCCCTGCCTCGATGGACAGCCCGCTGGCTGCGCGCAGGTCTATAAAACACGGCTCTCCCGGCCTGGTTGGCCACCCCGTCCCGCCCCTCCGCCGTGTTCGACGACGCACCCGCCCTTGCCGTCGGACGTAACCTTTGCAACCCGCTACTCGCCATGTTCGCCCAGTACTCGCCCCTCTTCACCTCTGGCCTTCGGCTTGCGGACAACTCACCGTCCTCGTCCCGGGCCCCGTCGCCCAAGCAGCGGACGCACAAGTCCAAGAAGCAGACGCACGACTCGCTCCCAATCACGATCTGGAGCGCGACCTTCAGCCTCTGTGACGGCGTCCCTGCCGACAGCGAGGATGACGCACTGTTCCTCACGTTCAAGCCCAGCCGCCGCGAGATCGAGGAAGGACGCTCCTTCCTCTCGCTCGACCTCGCGGACAGCCACCGCTCGATGAGCCTACGCCGCAAGGATACTGTCACCACCACCCAGGGGAGGTCGGTCCCTACCTCGCCTGTGATCGCTATACCCTCATTGCCGTGAGTATCTGCTCCATCAACCCCATTGTTTTAGCCCTGCCTTCTCCGCCTTCTGCGCATACATTGTGCCTCGCATGCGGCTTCCTAACTTCCGCCGGGTGCTCTCTGGCCTTGGCGGGAAATTGGGGCACAGCCTGTCGCTTCTTCCGTGATCACATTTCTGATTCTTCCATTGCAGTGCTCGTCCGTCGTACGCCCCATTCCATGCACCCGCCACCGCACCGGCAGAAATCATGCCACCGTATGTGTATTTCCCCTGCTGCGCGCTGTGCACGTCTCTAACTCTGTACTCCAGACAGCGCGCCTCGCCGATTGTCCGCCGTGGCTCGCGAGAGACACTGAGCCTGCCATCTCCCAAGCCCGCGCCGTCGACGACTCTTCCCGAGGTGCCCATCGCGCGGCACCGCCGCCGGCCCTCGAACCTCACGCTGACGTTCTCCGCGTGCTTCCCCGAAGCTGCAGCGTGCGCGTCTGCGCCGGCCTACCATCGCTCAACGAACTCTGAACCCGCGATCCTCTCGCCGCCGCTCCGCTCGTCGCCTATCCTCTCGCCTGGCGAGGGCCGCTCGTATCTCGCGTTCTCGCCCACGCTCACGACTCCGCCACTCATGACGCCACCGCTCACGAATGACTCTGGCTTCGAGTTCCCGCACGCGTGCTCGCTCAAGGTCTCGCCGTCGTTCCGCTCTGTCGCGTCTGTCAACACCCGCCAGCGCAACCGGTCCGCCGCACTCGCCGCTCTTGAGGGCCGCTCTCCTAGGCGGCGGCGTCCGTCTGTGAGGCGACCGCGCAACTTCATGAGCATGAGCGACGACGAAGAAGAGGAGGATGACAGCGCCGAAGTAGAGAAGCAGCTTCTGAGCGTGCTTGACGAAGAAGAAGACGTCGTCATCCCCAAGGTGTCTCGCGCAACGGCGCCCCCGACGCTGCCCCGGGACAACAGCCGGCGGAATAGCAAGACGTCGTCTGAGACCAAGCGCAGCCGGCGGAGTACGTTCGACTCGCTGCTCTCGCCTCTGACCAACTTTATCGACCTTCGGGACGACGAGAGCTCGACAACGCGCGGCTGGCGAAGCTTCGTCGAGCTGTCGGCGTAACTTAGTCTGCACCCACCACCATCATTATGCTATTTATTCGCCACCGACTTCTTGCTGCCACTACGCCTAGAGCAAGTTTAAAAGCCATCCCGATGCCCGCCCTCGTTCTCATCGTACACTATTGCCCGCCTGCTCCCTCATTAGTATTTTTTGTTATTTTTCTCGTTTGCTGCACTTGTACATTTCACGCACGCTCATCCACGGACACATCCGTTTGTACCACCATCGCTGTACCATATCCGCTCGTTGCTGCTCCACTTCTCCGCCCTATCAACTGCCTGGTCGCACACTACGTACATACATAGCCCGTGCCTGCGCACGCACCGCCATGCGCATGTGTCGCAAGCTAATAACATATCTGCGTTTTTGATGGAACTTGTTGCTCTCGTTTGACCACCCTGAGTGAGCCTTTGCACAGTTGTTGCGCGCGCAACATCAGCATCATCAAGTAGTACCCATCTACACAGCGCGGAGATCCATCTGCCCAGCCTGCCCACCCCCACATCTCTGGCCGGTGCAACCCCCCATGATCCCTAGCGGGCCCATCACATCGACATCCTGCCATCGGCGTGGCCCTGCCAAGGAAGCTTATCTGGCCTCTGCGCGAAAAAAAAAAAATCAATACCTCCGACGCGACGCGGAGCAGCGCGAGAAGCGTTCGTCGACACGGTTTGACATTGTCGGCATCGTCACAGCCCGTTCGCGTTAGCGTTTGGCGGGTCGTCCTGCCGACCGATCCCGATCCCACACCGAGCCTGCGAGCGGTGACGTGATGGTTCTGGCGAACGCGGCGCGCCGCTCGCCCATACATGCTATATGTGCGGAGCGGGTGTCTCCCCTCTGCATGAGGCGACGGTCTGAGTGGGCGGGCGAGCTAGCAGCTCTGATCAGGAGGCGCCACCTGACGTGGCATGTGAAGAGAGATCTGCCCCGGGCTCTTAAATTTTTACTTTTCGCACGTCTATTATGCGCGCGCACGCACCCCTCGATCGCGGAGGGACATGGAAGGAGGAAGGCGTTGCCGTGCGGGTGACTGGTGCGGTGGGTGATAGAGAGTTGGTGTGTGAAAGAGCTGCTGAGCTGAGGCCGGCGCCGCGTCCTTTCCCACGCGGCGCGGCGAGCAGACTGAAGGAGGTGACGAGCGTGGAACTCATTTTTGGGGAGTCGCGGACGGTCCAGGCTTTCGTCTGCAGAGCGCGCCTGAAAGGATCTCCGTGTGTTCTCACGGCGAGGTCTAGTACAGTATGGCTTGTTAACAGCATTGGGCGAGGCGCGGTGAGACGCGCAGATGTTAGGGTCTCGACTCTTGAGCCTGTGTTCGGGCTGTTGGGCGAGGCCAGACTCGAGACTGTCCAAGCAAGTCCTGTGCTCGCGCAGTGGCATCCCGCTTTGTCTGTCGGGACTCGGAGAAAGGTACAAGATTCCCGAGGTTGGTACAAAATGCCGGAAAAGTGTCAACGCGCGTCAGATAGTCTAAACCTCGGCGTGCTTCATCGTAACGCTTGACATATGAAAATTTGAAGCATGAAGTCTGGGTGTGATATATGATGTTTAGAAGCCACGGCCTTTGCAGGTTCTCATGGAAGATTCATGGAGGATTCCCCAAGGAGGTACGGTGAGGGGTGTGCGGGGTCATTTCGGGGTACCTCGGGTCACGGACGCGCGGACTGGGGGATCAGGCCTCAGGCCTGGACGAGCCGCGTCTTTCAACCCGTACCGCGACGGAGGACGACGCGCGCTGTGACACTGAACCTCGTGTATTCTCGCCGATGGCCTATCCCAGTATGCAACACGCTCTTACCGGACGTATCGTATCCCAGCTTGCATCGGCGACATATTTTGGGGACCGAAGCATGAGGTGAGTTTACGTGTCGCGCACTTAACATCCGAGCTGATCTCCGCCTCTGCAAGGTGTATTCGTGTATTTTTGATAGCCTCAAGTGACGAGCGGGCAATGTGATGTTGCGCTTCCCTATCACGAATACGAACGAACACGTCGTGTACGAGAACTCCGTAAGAGCCGAACGCTTCCCGTTCCCCTTTAGCGTCGCAAAGATATTCAACTTTCTATGCCGACCTGGAGGCGCCGTCCTTCGTTTCTCCGCACCTCAGTATCCATGAAGGTTTTCTCCGAAGCTTGCGTTGCCGCCAACTCACGAAGCAGCTCTCTTAAGTGCAACTAACACACCTGTGTCACTCCGCACCGGATACCCGCACGTGAGTACGATGACAAGTTGCACCTGCTCGTGACTAGCTTCGTATCAGCGCATACATAGACTTTTCAGTCTGCGGCAAGTAATGTCCGTGCATAAGACATAGCCTCTTTGCAGCTCTTTGTGCGCTGATTGCGTTGGCCTGGGCGCCGCCTTGTCGAGCGCACCAGCCTCCTCGTCTGCAGCTCTCATCCAGTCCTGTTCACCGCTGACGTCGTCGTCCAGAAAAACGACAGAACAGGCCTGACGCGGTTACTAGCAATACTGAGATGTATACAGGATCCTGGACGGCGGCGGAGACCACAGGGCGGCGTACGAACGCCGGCGCCGGTGCTCACGACTATATGCCATCATGCATCTTACAGCAGCCCTCACGCCGTGCCGACGAGGCGAGGTGGAGCGGGCTCGTTCAACGTATATAAGTCGGATCAGCTGGAACCGTCGCTGTACCAGCCACAAAGAGGGACCTCTCTTGACAGCTTGGCACTTACACTTGGCAGCCTTCTGAAATCATGGCGCGTCTCGCGGGCTTGAAGCTCGCGCTCTTCTTCGGTGCTCTCAGCGGCGCGTACGCTGCTAGGCTCGTGAAGCTGCCTGTCCGCGCGTCGGTGTAGGTGTTCTGCCTGTGATAACCGTTCGTAGCGCTAACACGACCATATACTAGGGCGAACCCTACAGCACCTCTGGGCAACAAGATCTCCAAGTTGACTGTATCCGGTGCGCATATCTGTTGGTCATAGTAGCAGCACGTCGCACTTATCATGTCTATCGTAGTCACGACTGGGAATGACCAGACATTCGACAACGTGCTTGTCGACACGGGAAGCTCCTCGCTTTGGGTCGGCGCGTCCAGCCCGTACGTCCCGGGTCCCAACTCGAAAGCGTGAGTCGACGGTAGCTGTGCCTCCCGCTCTGCACTTACCGCACTGTGTTCGGCAGTACCGGCGATACCTTTGACATTGGTTACGACGAGGGCGATGCGACCGGCCTGGTGTACCTGGACACTGTGACCATCGGCTCTGCGACGGTGACGAATCAGTACATCGGCGCTGCGAACCAGACGTCGCTCCCTGTCGACCTCGATCCTCTGGACGGCTTCAGTACGTGTACTTTCTGGTGTTCTTTCATGACCACTGTTTGACCGGTCTGCGCGCAGTCGGCCTGTCGTTCAACGGCTCGAATGCACACACGATCAGCGGTATCGATGGGCCGACGAATACGTTCCTGGATAGTCTTGTCGAGGAGGGTGTCATTGAGCAGGCGCTGTGGAGTATGGTTGTCCCGGCGCTTGACGGACAGCAAGTCGGCGAGGGCGAGATTCTGTTCGGTGGGTACGACGCGAGCAAGGTGGAGGGCGAGATCGCCTGGCTGGACGTCACCAATGAGTTCGACCAGTTCACATGGGCCTTCAGCGTAAGTGTTTCCCTCTCACTGTTTGTTGGTCGAAGGTGGATATCACTCTGACCTGCTTGTGTCCGCCAGATGGACGGCATATACTTTGGCGACAGCCAGATATCCAATGACGGCCCGTTGTTTGCCTACACGGATAGCGGAGACATCTGGTTGAGTCTCAACATGTGAGCTGCGCCGAGTCCTCTACAATATCCTGCTTCTGACAGTGTGCATGCAGAGATAGCTACCTCGCGATCCAGAAATTGGTCCCGGGCGCAGCGGGCGCGTCAATTGGCCCCGCGGGCGAGGTTATCGCGTTCCCCGCGAACGCCTCCCTCGCTGATCTGCCGTCGATTAGCTACTCGATGGCCGGTCAGAACTTCACGCTCACGCCCGAGCAGTACATCATGCCGTCCAGCGCGTACGCCACGTTCGGCATCACAGACGACGGCCGACACTACACGTGGTTTGGGAGCGCTGGCTTCCAGGCGGACGCGATCCTAGGTCAGGCGTGGCTCCAGTACTTCTACTCGATATACGACGTCGGGAACACGAGTGAGTGCCAGTTGTCTTTGTGTACTGTGCGAGATTGAGGCTGATGGCGACCTGCAGAGATCGGGTTCGCGAACTATGCTTGAGTGGAGATGTTGTTGCGGGGAGGCCGGGCCAACGTAGGGCTCGGCTTCGTCCGAGAAGCTACCTAGGTGGTTCTTGATTGTGTTATCATCTCTGGCCAGGACACGATAGCAACACGTATCTCGACGTATCTCATCGGATATCCTCTGTCACTGCAAGTTTCACTGCACCCGAGCTACCGGAAACTCTGCAGGCTTCTCAACATGATCCCAGTCGTGGCCGCGCGTTGACATCGTATATCTGTTTTTGACAAGAGGATACCAACCAGTACACCGTTAATGATGATTGATTATAGCTTTCGACCATCTCCCCCGCTTTGTTGTCCTGGTAGCAGGGCCCAGAAAGGCCCGCATATAGGCATTTGCGCACTCCGTCCATACCGAACAGCACACACACACGAGTGGAAGCCTCGCGCGGGGATACCCTAAGCAGTGGTGTCCCCCCGGTGCAGCTCAAGTGTGACGACGCCGAGAGCAGACATGGGTGCGAAGTAGAACGTGAGTTATACTTTGCATGCCTTGTTGTGCTCCTCGGCGGAGAGCGAGGCGCCCTCGGGGCAGCTCGACGTATTATCTCCATGACCGTATCACTTGAAGAAAGCGATCAGGACGCCAGAGGGAGCACCTGGTTAGCACGACAATGCCACGTATAGGCTGTATCGCGCCGCGGTCAACGGTGAAGAGAGCTCATACAGAAGTTGTGAGAGGAGCTTGAAGGGTCAACGGCACTCACATCTGTTGTGGTAGCCTATCCTCGCTCCTTCCTCGGAAGGAAGCGTTGCAATGTCAAGCTGGTTTTCCAAAAACTTCTCGTCATCCATGCCATAGCTTTCTATCAGTAGTGCTGGGAACCGAGTACTAGTGTTATGAAACGCAAGTTGTCCCTGACCAAGGTATGCTGCTGGTCGTTCGGAATCTGTGATGTTAATGCACTATTCAGAAGTCTGTCATTACTGTAGGTGCAGCTAAGCCCGAGTAGTCAGAAAATGGATGACTTTCCTCGGTTGGTCCCAATTCGGACGATGAAAAAGCCAGTGGGACACTCACCATGCGGTTGCATCTCTCCAGCGCGGCGAGCAGACCGAGAGGGGACCGTGGATCCGGGAGGCCCAGGCCTGAAAGGATTTCCGTATGCTCTCACGGCTCGGTCTAGCATGGTTTGTTAACAGCCCAGTAGGCGAGACGCTGTGAGACGCGGATTGGGCCAGTGTTCAGGTTGTCTAGAGCGAGGCCAAACTCGACTGTCTAAGTAGGTTCTGTGCTCGCGCAGTGCTCTTTTTCTTTTTCTTGGTTGGGACTCGGAGAAAGGTACGAAATTCCCGAGGTTGGTACAGAATGCCGAGAACCTGTCAAGGCACGTCAGATAGTCTAAACCTCAGCCAAAGAGGAGGTTGGGCGTGCTGTATTGTAAGGCTTGACACCTGAAGGATAGCTATGTTTTTCAGAAGCCACAGCTTTCGCAGGTTCTCATGGAGGATTCATGGAGGATTCGAGGATCAATGTCTCAAAGAGGTGCGATGAGGGGTGTGCGGGGTCATTTTAAGGTATCCGGGGTCACATTCTCAGACGCGCACGGGACCGGGGACGAGCTGCATCTTTCAAGTCGACCCGTACCGCGACGGAGGACGACGCGCGCTGTTGTGCTGAAAGTGTGTTCTTGTCGACAGCTATCCCAGCTCACAGCACGCTCTTATTGGACGTACGTCCGGCACCTGGGTGGTGCGGATCTGCAGCCGTGTGGCGAGCTCATGTCGGCGACATGCTTTGGGGGGCCGAGGTATGAGGTGAGTTTACGTGTCGCGAACTTGTGTGTAACATATGAGCTGATCTTCGCCTCTGCAAGGTCTATTTGTATTTCTTTGATGGCCTCGAGTGACGAACGGGCAATATGATGTTGTGCTTTTCTATCACGAATACGAACGAACCGAACGCCCCCCCTCGTGCTTTAGCATCGCCAAGATGTTCAGCTTCCTATGCCGACTCAGACGCGCCATTCTCTGTTTTTCCACAAGCCCGGTACCTAAGTGCCTATGAACATTTTTTTGAAGCATGCACTGCCGCCAACAGCTCTTCAAGTGTCAAACTGACACATTTGTGTTATAATGTACGGATATCGGTACGTGAGTGCGATGACAAGCTGCACATGCCTTTAACTAACTTTGTACCTGTGTATGCAGAAACCTTTTTAGTCTACGGCAAGTTATGTCCGTGTGTATGTCATGATCCCTTTGCAGCTCTTTGTGCGCAGGTTATGTCGGCCTTGCCACCGCTTCATCGGCATACCGGCCTCCTCGTCTGCAAGTCTCGTCAAGTCCCGTTCATTGCTGATGTCATAACCCAGAGAAAACGAGGGGCCAGATACGAGTACTGGCGACACTGGGCAGCGTGCAAGATCCTGGACGGCGGCAGGGCCACAGGGCAGCGTACGAATCCTGGTGCTCATGACCCTATGCCATCACGCATCTTATGGCAAATTTCATGCCCTATTTCTCGAGCCGACGAGGCCAGGTGGGCCTCCGGCTCCGCTCGACGCATATAAGTCGGATATGCTGGGACTGTCGCTGCACCACCCACGAAGAGGGATCTCTCTCGATAGCTTGGCACTTACACTTGACCGCCTTCTGAAATCATGGCGTGTCCCGCAGGCTTGAAACTTATGCTTTACTTTGGTGCTCTCGGCGGTGCATACGCCGCTAGGCTCATGAAGCTGCCTGTCCGCGCGTCGTTGTAGGTGTCTTGCCTGTCACAGCTATTTGTCGCGCTGACATTGCTGTATATCAGAGCAAATCCTACAGTACCTCTGTGCAACAAGGTCACCAAGTTGACTGTTTCCGGTGCGCATATCCGTTGGTCATAGCAGCAGCATGTTGTACTTACTATGTCCACCGCAGTCACGACTGGGAACGACTAGACATTCGGCAACGTGCTCGTCGACACGGGAAGCTCGTCGCTGTGGGTTGGCGCGTCGAGCCCGTATATCCCGGGTCCGAACTCGAAAGCGTGAGCCAGCAAGACCTCTGTCTCCCGCTCTGCACTCATCGCCGTGTCCCGCAGCACCGGTGAGACCTATAGTGTTGGTTACGACGAGGGCGGTGCGACCGGCCTGGTGTACCTGGACACTGTGACCATCGGCTCTGCGACGGTGACGAATCAGTACATCGGCGCTGCGAACCAGACGTCGCTCCCTGTCGACCTCGATCCTCTGGACGGCTTCAGTACGTGTGCTTTCTGGTGTTCTTTCATGACCACTGTTTGACCGGTCTGCGCGCAGTCGGCCTGTCGTTCAACGGCTCGAATGCACACACGATCAGCGGCATCAGCGAACCTACGAACACGTTTCTGGACAGTCTTGTCGAGGAGGGTGTCGTCGGGCAGGCGCTATGGAGCATGATCGTCCCCGCGCTCGATGTTGCGGCCGGACAGCAGGTGGGCGGGGGCGAAATCCTGTTTGGTGGGTACGACGCGAGCAAGGTAGAGGGCGAGATTATCTGGCTGGACGTCACCAATGAGTTTGGTCTGTTCGCTTTGTTCTTCAACGTGGGTGTTCCCTCTCACTGCTCGTCTGTCAAAGATGGATATGATTCTGACC